GGAGCACACAAACATGTCAGAATACATACATGTATGTGCGATGTAATCTGTGGCATATACATGTAAATTCTAGGCCCCACATGACTATGTTTCCAATGAGAAAAGGTCAAACCTCATGAAGGAGTGGACTGACAAGAGAAGATACATTATCTTGAATACTGGAAGTGAAATACATGTACATGTATGCATGCACACCCGCATTGTACAATTTGTGTGTATCAATGCTTTCTACAATGAAAGTTCTTTCTTCTCTAGAACCAGGAAGTTTATTGGTTCCGTATTCATTTTATACAGGTACCAGGCACCTGTAAGCACAGTGTACAATGTATATGTACATTTTGTACATGTACACGTACGTTTATCCGAGGGCAACACAACTCCTCATACTATGGGCTAAAGATGTATTTATACATACAAAAATTGACAAAAGCTTGCTGTATGCTAGTTTCCAAAGTTCTACTAAAAGCAGATGAAAACACGTACATGTATGTACATGTACAGTACTCAATTTCACATACACTGTATTTGCAATAAATGGGATGTAGACATGTTTTAATGTTTTTCTTACTCCTTAGTAGTAAGCATCAGACTGAACATTAAAAGGGGGTGACTGATGGGTGGTTGAAGTTTACAGTTGATCTCAGAATTAGACGGAAGTTGTGCTGCGCACGCCCACAAGTTCACCCATACATGTACTGTAGATGGCCATACAGCATGTACATGTAGTGTATGGGTGTACTAACACCAACATGTACATGTATGTATTGTGCATGTCATCTGAATACTGTTTGGTGGTTTTCATTGTATTGTGTGTAACAGGCACAGAGTCTGAGGTACAGTACCATTGTGTTTGTAAATGACTCACTTTGGAAGAAGTCTATGGGATGATCAAACAGTAATTCTAGGTCATGTGCATTACAGTCAGCCTTGTGTCATCATGATCAGTTGCAAAGATCATTATTGTAAATGTAGCAAGGGTTTCACCTGCATGTACCAGCATGATTGCAATTACCTGTCCCTTCCCAGAAATTAAAAATTATCTGCCCTTTCCAAATATGAGCAAGGCCATATTTCTACCAAGTATAGTACCAGCACTTCAGAAGGAAATGTGTAGATCTATAGTAAAGATTGCGGTAACACCATGTATTTATCTCTTCTTTGAGTATGTGTGGTTCTGAGAAGAACTGGGGAATAACTCGACGTTGGTGTAGAGG